ACTTCAGCCCCCCATCCCCAATCTTTCCTTGGTGTAAAGTGGTGTGGTTTAAACACCACATACCCAAACACAGCCTTATCCTTTGGCTAGCTGCTAGAGGGAGATTATATACACTTGATGCAAAACCAATGCTTTACAAGCACTACACAAACAGATGTTATCTCTGTCATACAGCATGGGATTCTATTGATCACCTCTTCTTCAAATGTGACTACACTTCACACATTTAGAAGTTTATCCAATATACTGCTAGATTTTACATTTTGCCAAACAGTTGGGCTGACTTACTCCTTTGGTGCTCAATACACTGGGCTTCAACACAATTCTTGCTTCATAAGCTTCTTTGGGCTGTTGCAGTCTACTTCATTTGGATGAAGCGAAATGCCAGAGCTTTCAGGAATCAATCCTCCACTGCCCACAACATCATTGCCCAGATTAAGACGTGTGTAAGAAGTAGACTTGCATCACTCAAGCTTAGGAATAGTTCAGAATTGAAGCTGATCTCTTCTCCCTCACAGCTACAGACACTCTTCCAGCAGGGCTGCTCCACATCTAGTGGACATCTCTGGCCTTTATCCTAAGCAATGGTGATGATTGTTCATGGTTAATGCTACCATGGTTGAAGGCTAGAGAGGGTGCCTTATATTTTGGCTGATATTGTCTTTGATGTTATGCTTTTGTTTTCCTTTATAGTTGCCAAAGGAGATGTTGTTCCTAGAGTTGTTCTTAGAGTTGCTGTTCCTTTTTGTTTTCCCCCCTTCGAGGTTTGTTTGTATATTTTTCTTTTAATTATTTATACAAGCTTACCTTTTAACCAAAAAAAAAAAAAAAGGAAAAATATTATTTTACATTAAGAGGTGAGGAACTACTAATAAAAAAAGACATGAGGAAGTAGATGTGACTTTTGAGAATTCACCAATAAACATGACTTTTTAAATTAGATGTAATTTTTTGAAAATGTACATGTAATAGACATAACTTTTGAGATTAAAGATTAGTAATGAATTCATCAATAGACTTGACTCCTTAAATATAAAGGTAATTATAGTCATTTAGTTTATAAATGACTATAAACTATAAAGATTAGTTATGAATTCATCAATAGAATATAAATGTGTTAAAAGTGTGGAAAAAAGAAGAAATAAAGTGTTAAAATGGATGAAAATATATAATATAGTTATGTACTTAAGTAAATGATAGGAGTCCAACATTTGAATTAATTCCGCTAATTTTTTTATGTCATATGTATTAACAATATCATGATGATAACGTTAGTCTCTACTTACATAAATGAATCAAAATTATTGGACTTTTCAACTTCAAATTATTAATACACTTTTAAATATATGTGTAACAATTATATGAATAAATAAATAAATAAATAAATAACAATAGAGGTATCTAGCGTGTGTTAAGGCGCCCTTCTCTATCATAACACATGAGAATGTGGATCTCCACCCCATCGCCATCTAAACCCCATCTAAGCTTCTATCACTGTTCAAATATCTACTATATCTTACTGATTGTATAAAACAAACATTTAACCCAAGTCAATCGGTGCAACTAGGCTTGAAAAGAATGTAGAAAATGACTAAATAATAAAAGTTTTCTCTCTCCCACATGCCACACATATAGAAACACACTCAAAACAATGAAATTAATTGGATGTTGTTGCAAAGTGAGATTTAGTGCATCTTATATAAGACTTAGAGAGGTAGTTTTTCCAATTCTAAGATAATGACGTGTGATTGGGACAAAGCTAAGGTTTGATTTGGCCCGCATTGAATGGGGTATTAACACGACTTAAAATACACATGGGCTATGAAATGACAGTGATAGTTTTGGTCTAGCAAAGGAGTGACACTATTTTTGGGACTCGGTGTTTACGATTTGATCTGCCCAATTGACATTTTTTGATCACTTTCAATGCCCAACTACATAATTGAATCTCTGGTTTGCCAACTCATTGGAATAGGCACATCAACTATTGTTAACCCTTTGAACGACTAACAACATTGGATAAACATCAATACGATTCACAGGCAATGCCAAAAATAGTCACTCATTTTAAAAGGCTATTGTGAGCGCATTTCTAATTGTGGGCTTTTTATAATTGTTGGATAGAATACTCACGGTTTTTCAAAGATTCGAACCCTAATTTTGCTTTGTTGGAGCTTAAAATGAGTGACTATTTTTAGCATTGCCTGTGAATATATATATATATATATATACATTCCAAAAAGTTGAACTGCAAAGGGAAAGTTTAAACGTATTTAAATAGTCAAATATAAAATCAATGAATTACATGTCATTTATTTGATAGAAATTTTAATTGCACAACTTCAAATCTAATTTGATAAGGGTATACATGAAAGATTAATTTAGTGGTTTAAAAATAAGACTGTGAGTCTTGTTAAAAAATAAAAGGATCTCTTCTAAAGAAAAAGGTTAGATTTGAGCATAATTTTATTTTAGGGTTAATTACATGGACTTTCTCTATTGTTTGTCATAATTACAAGTACTTCTCATATGATTTGGAAAATTATTCAAATATTTCCTAAAAATGAAACTAATCTACATGAACCTCCATTCCTAAATATGAACCTCCATTCCTAAATATTAGTTGTTGTATTTTGGAATTTTTCGAAGCCTCCTGCTGGTTGTTCTCTTTTGTTTTCCCCTCACTTAATTGTGGCCCTCAATGTACATTCTTCTTCTTATATATACAAGCTTATCCCTTTTAACTAAAAAAAAAATACCTCCATTCCTAGTTACGGACCATCACTTGCATTAATAGACTTATCTAATTTATTGAAATCCCCTCAACTTTCTATGATAAATGTCTAAAGCACCCTAGTATCAGTGCATTTTGAGATAGTGGATATGAATCATAGGGTTTTTTTACCAATCCAGTGAGTTGTTATTTTGCATTCAAAGTTTATCCAATGCTTTCAGTTTTGTTCAATGTTAATGTGATGAGTAATGATACTTGCACCTATTTGTTGCAGTGAATTACCTAACCGAATATTTTTTATTGATTTTTTCTGCACAATACATGTAAGTAGAGGGCCTACTCCTTTGTTTATCTCATTTGTTGCAGTGAATCCCAAACCTATTTTTTTTAATTGGTCCATTTATACATAAGTAAAGAAGTGGGGTCCTCCATTTACATGTATTATGCATAAATAATTAATAAGAAACATTCAGTTAGGTAATTCGCTGTAACAAATCATGTATAAGTATCATTACTCTAATGTGATTGGGGACCAAATGTGTGTGTATAAAGCAGTGCACCAAAAAAAAAAAAAAAAAAAAAAATTGTATAAAGTAGTGTATGCCATATACACCAAAAATAAATAAATAAACACCAACCACCATGGGGGCCACAGTCACCACCACCATGTATGTTTTCCTCCATCTTTGCATATACATATATATATATATATATATACATATATATATATATATATATATTTCCATGAATAGTTAATGGATTCAACATTTAGCAGGGATGAGGTATTTTGGTAATTTTTGTTACTTTTGAAGATTCAAAATGTCATTGACCGCAACAACGGGAAATATTGGAATTTTATCTTATTCAGTGTATGATATTAGCAGAATCCGTCATTGACTCGCGTTGATTGTCACAGAAGGAAAGTTCGTGTAGGTTAGTTTCATTTTTAGGGAAGGTTTAAGTAATTTCTCAAACAATAAGGGAGGCACATGTAATTAACCATTTATTTTATTATTTTACAAAAAAATTGTAAAATAATAAAAATAATTAGTCGAACACAATGGTATAATAATTTTATTAAAATATAATATATATATATACACACACACCCATATTTGTCCATACAGGAAGCAAAAACATTCATCTGTGTCTATTATCTAAGCTGTAATAAAACAAGTAAAATTTAAATCTTGCATTATTATATAAATATTCTTTTACACACATTCTCGTCTGTCTGTGTATATGTCTTATTTTCTATAAACCAAAAAAAAAAAAATACATTTGATCAAGTCTCCATTGTATGGTGGTTTCTAGCTTTTATTTGTCGTGGACATAGATGATGAGACGTTTCAAAGAAAAAGTAGTACAGTGAAAGTGGGTTTGCAAAATATTCTTGGACAATGTTGAGATCCCAAAACCATATAAGCCTAGGTACCTTGTACATTACTATTCTGCTTCTGCACACCACAAGGACTAGCTAGTAGTATTCCTTCTGCACTTAAAAAAGAGGGCAATGCTAAAACCTAATAATCATACAACCCTGTAACCCTCACCCAACCAATAACGTAAAGTGGGATGTGTTTGCCAAAAGTACTCACTTTATCCAACATCTTCCGTGGAAACCAACTTCAATCAACGTGGTACAATACAAAACTATACAAGACAACCTTTAAATAGTTTTTACTGTGTGTCACAACCATTCCAATATCATCACTTCTAACAAATCATTTCTTATATCATCATATGGATCATATCAACGGTTTTTACCATCACCTACAGTTCTTGATATGATATGTGTTTTTGTAAGAAGTGGTTATATTATGTAAGAAGAAGATGTCTCTCAAACCAGAGGAAAATAAATAAGATATAATGATAAAGGAAAGGCGGATCATATCCGGTAACGTATGAGGATTCAAGTCTTTATATGACGTGTGTGATCATTGATATTAAATATTTACCTCTCATAATTTTTTTTAAAAAGTGTTCATTTACAGGAATCTAACTATTTAAGAGCGTATTTTTTATTTTTATTTTAGTGGTGAGAAATGAATTTTCAAAATTTTAATTGTTTTTATATTTTTAATATAAAGAGGATAAATTAAGAATTTTAAAAAATAATATATATTTTAAATTTTGACTTGGAATAATTATAAATAAATGACAAGTAATCCGAATTTAAAAGCGTCATATTTCCCACGCACTATAATTCTTCGTCCTCGCAACATTTGGGCTGTAATCATCTCAGTATACACAACGTTAGGTACACTGTCTTCAAAACAGTCTGTGTGTGTGTCTCTCTCTCTCTGCTGCGTATGTTAGTGAGAGAAAATGGTGTCGTGTCATTTACTAAACTCTGTTTCTATGACGTGGTTAATTACGCTTCTGCCATCCGGTCGTTGCAAACTCACACTATTTTATAATTCTGTAATCAATCGAAAAGCGAAGCACTCCTTATTTTAGTAATCCTTCCAAATCATCACTTCTCTCTCTATCCCCAATTTCTCAGTTTCAGAGCGATCACAGATCTCTCTTTCTCTCTCTATCCCTCTTTGTTCTTTATGTTACTGTCATTCCATCAAAAGTGACACAAAGGTATATATATATATATACACACACACAAATATCAAATATGTACGTGTGAGGTCTATGAAATGGGGATTTGATTCAACGAATTTGAATTCCTATATCAGAATGCGAGTGAAGGAAATGCATCCACTGTGCTGCATCTCGCTGGAGAGTCCGGGAATCGGAGACCGGTCGCCGGAGATGACCATGTCTAGGACCGTCTCTGCTTCTCCGGCGGCGATATTTCCCGGCGGATCGGACGGTAACGCTGGACGGACGGGGGTTTCTGAAGCGAGCTTCGCTGGAGTTCTTTACAAGTGGACGAATTACGGCAAAGGATGGAGATCCAGGTGGTTTTTGTTGCGTAACGGAGTGCTATCATACTGCAAGGTTCTCCGGCCGGAGAATCTCGCTCTGTTGCCGGCCGGAGACGATGTCAGAATGATCGGCGAGGTCTCATCTGGTCGGCTCTCGCGTCGCAAGCACCATAAAACGGTTGGCATCGTTCATCTCAAGGTAAGAGTTAGAGAGAGAGAGTGTGTGTTTGTTGTAGAGAGAGAAACTTAATTATACGATGCCATTGCCATCCTCTGATCACAACGATCAACTTTTCCAATCGCTAACGCTCCGCTGGATAGTTTGCCTCTTTTTGGCGCTAATTCAGAAAACTTTCCACAATCGGTAATATATCTTGGTTCAAAAAATTTACTCCAATTGTTACCATTTCCCTTGTTTCTCTTTGAAATTTTCTTCCATTTTTATCCGCCACCAAATATCTTGGATAACTGAGCTTCACTGTGTAACTCTCTCTCCTTTCCTTTCTTTTTCTTTTATTCATTTATCTACTACGTCTCTCTCTCTCTCTTCACTTTGTGAATTTCTTTTTTATATTTACGGTATTTAACTGGTTGTCAATCTTTAGTGAGTCACATCGAATAGGAGCCAAAGATAGAGCTATGTTGTAGGCCTAGGTTTTTAGCTGTAGTCACATCATTGTTCCGGTCAGAAAATTGTGATTTCTCCATGGATCTGTCGGCCTCCTCCTTTCCACTTTTCTTCTCATTATCACTCGTCAGTAGTCACCTGCGACACTCCACTTCCACTTACCGATCTTGTGTTTGTTTTAATAAAAGTGTAGGGCTTTTGTCATTTGTTTTGCTCTCATAAGATAATACTATTACTCGATGTTTTGCTTTCTCTAATAAATACTAATAAATACTGTTCAACTGTTTCAGTGCGTTGATCCAACGGTGGATCTAACGTTTTAATATATTAATCAGTGTTTGTATTTCTGGCTTAATTTTTTGGGACTCGGTGTTCAATTGGTTTTGAGTAAATTAGTAATAAGTGGCCACTGTTTCGAAACTTGGAAAGGTTTTTTGCTTTTTAATCTGAATCTCTTTCGCTTGACTTCTGTTTATGCTCCTTTGACTTGTAGTATAAGGTTATTCGGGTTTTGGTCAAGTTTATTCTCCTATCCAAACCCAAACCGTGGTTTTGTGCACGCAGAAGGTTATGAAATGATCTTAGACTGAATATGGTTGTTACACCAATGTGGAACATGCCGGGGTTTCTTGTAAGCGTTTGGTTGTAAAGAGGTTCTAGACTTGAATAGGGTTGTTTGCCGCCGGTAACCTGAATGTGGTCGGATTGAGGTCAGTTCAAGAGTTTTCATTCTGGGTTCCTTGTATTTCTAGTGGTATGTTGTTGCTTTATGGTGCTTCAATGCTTTAGGGATGCATTTTTCTTGTTATATTTGAAACTATAGCTTTTCAGAATACATTTGTTTGGAAGGGTTGTACTACATTTGATAATTGCATTGCTACATTGAACTAAATACTGTATTAGCGTAATTAGGTAACGTGAAGATGCTACAATTTCAATATTCTGGCTTTAAGTACTGAGACTTGTTGGATTTCTTAGCAGATTTCTTCATTTCGGGAGAGCAAGTCGGACAACAGGCGATTTTACATATTCACTCCTACAAAAACCCTTCATCTCAGAACTAACTCAAATAAAGAACGAGAGGCTTGGATAGAAGCTCTGGTTTCGATCCGAAGCCTATTTCGGCTAAGACCGTTGAATGACAATCTACTCCTCGTACCAAATGATATTTCTATATCAACTGATAGGCTCAAAAATCGCTTGCTTGAAGAAGGGATCAGTGAGGTACTTGTAAAGGACTGCGAGCAGATCATGCTTTCCGAATTTTCAGAAATACAAGGACAATTTAAAGTTCTATGTGAAGAGCGTTCCAATTTGCTCGACACCTTAAGGCAATTAGAGGTAGATTTTCTTTAATCATAGGTTTCTTTCAACAATACTAGAGCATGGAACTTCTTTCTCAATTTATTGTATTTACTGTAATCACATTAGCTTCTTTACATAAGAGGACAGATTCACTTATTTACCCAAGTTGAAATGCCAAATATTAGGGACATATATATTCTAAAGATATTTTGTAGGATAAACCAAGTTAATCAATAAAAATGTAAAAGTGACTGCACTCCTTGCAAGAACTCTACTTTGATTGTGTATGTCACCTAGAATATAGAGATTGTTGTCTAATGGTTATTGCAAATTAGAAATCTAAATGTTCCATTGGGTCACATGATACACATTGCGTGATCAGTTTTTACAAACTATTAATGTCAAAGTTGGCTCATGGTTTTGCAAGTATTGTAATACTGTAAATGCCAAATATTTGAGACATAATCACATTATCTTCTTTACATACTGTAAATACTGAAATCACAAGAGAATAGATTCACTTATTTATTGTAGAAGTGACTGCACTCCTTGCAAGAACTCTACTTTGATTGTGTATGTGACCTAGAATATAGAGATTGTTGTTTAATGGTTATTGCAATTTAGAAATCTAAATGTTCCATTGGGTCACATGATACACATTGCGTGATCAGTTTTTACAAACTATTAATGTCAAAGTTGGCTTATGGTTTTGCAAGTATTGTAATACTGTAAATGCCAAATGACATAATCACATTATCATCTTTACATACTCTAAATACTGAAATCATAAGAGAATAGATTCACTTATTTACTGAAGTTTAAATGCCTAATATTTGGGACATATATATTCTGAAGATATTTTGTTTGATAAACAAAGTTAATCAATAAAAATGTAATAGTGACTGCACTCCTTGCAAGAACTCTACTTGATTGTGTATGCCACCTAGAATCTAGTTTTTTAGAATTTAGAAATCTAAATGTTCCATTTGATCACATGATACACATTGCCTAAGCAGTTCTCACAACCTAGTAGTGTCAAAGACTCTTAAGTTGTTCTTATGGTTTTGTAAGTAGCCTTGGTTCAACCTTTCATTTAAGGCACTATTATCGAAATGGGAGTAGTGTTGTTAAACAGTTTACTAATTGATGACTGTTTAATAAGTTAAATCTATTTAGTCATTTTGTTTGCTTGTTTTGGTCTGTGCTTTTCTTTTAACAAGTTTGAATGGTTAACTATTATTGTGATTAACTTTATGGATATTTAAAATAAGCTTGCTCATTTTACCTTAAGCATTTTTATTTTGTATATGCAGGCAGCTAATTTTGAAGCTGAAGTTTCAGGAATTCATGATAGCGAATATCAGTTGATAAAGCAAGGATATTCGAGTTTAGGGCATGGAAGATATATTGGTAAATTTGATATGTGTTACCTATGTTTGCTTCACATGATATATGTTATATATGTCTACAGTTCTCTCAAATAATATTCAGTAAAAGTTGCAATCACTACAGCAGTAGGGCCATTTTGCGACAAAATGCACTGAAACTTGTCTAAATTTTCACCAACACTTTCTCTTAGAAGGTATCTTGTGCGGACTGCCACAATTCCAACAAAAATCCTAAGTTTTTGCAACATAATGTCAATGCAACGAAAGTTGTCATCACCATGAATAATGTATCTGTAGCAATATCATTACAAAAGGCAACAGTTTTGTCAATAAAATATATGTTTTCTCCTTTTTGGACAAAGGCTCATGATTGCAAAAAATATGTTTTCAACATTTTACTAAAACGAAAAGCAATTTTTTGAAATGAAAAAAGGGAAACACACACACACACTTTCCTCTATGAAGAGTATTCATCACAACAGTAATAGCTCTAGGATCGTTTTGCAAGAAGCAATTCTCTTCACCAATTTTAGGAAAATAAATATTGACTTCTATGATCAAACTACCTTATAGTAGTTTGAGATTATAATTGTTCTCTTCATCATACAACCAATTGTTCAAGATTATAATTGTCCATCAAGTAATAAATTGTAGTTCAACAAAAAATAATTAAATATTAGCACAAATTTACTTAGGGGACATTGGCTAGTATAGTGGTAAAATGCTCGGGTTGTAAAGTGTGAGAATGTGAGATTTAACTTGAGATCAGCCACTTTGTGCAAAAATGCCAAAGGTTAGATCTGTATCCTGCTCTTTCTGGCATCCTTGATTAACGGGAATCACACTCAGGGACGGATCTACGGTGGGCTTAGTGGGGTCAACCACCCCCACTGATTTTTTTTTTTTTTTGGTAGTATATACCCCTAAATTTTAATTCTTTTGTATTATATACCCATAAATTTTTAAATTGCCCCCATTGAAATTACAGAAATACCCCACTATATAAGTTTGCCCCCTCACACATAATTTTCTAGGTTCATCACTGATCACACTAGGCAATGACCTTTCTTACAAACTTAATTGTGCATGTCCATGTTCAACAATACCCAAGCAAAGTACTAACAAGATCATGAAAAGAGAGAAGAAAAAGTTGACGATGTAAGGTAGAGAATCCTAATTAGCACCTGTAATTAGTTTGTAAAAACAAGATGGATGAGTGGAATGACTAGAAGAGATAGGATCACTAACGAAAGCGTGAGAGGAAAATTAGGTGTAGCACCCATTGGTGAGAAAATTAGAGAGAGTAGACTTAAATGGTTTGGACGCATACATTGAAGGCCTAGAGATGCGCTGGTCAAACGAGAAAGATTAGTTGTAATAAAAGATAAGAGACGGAGGGGGCAACCAAAACTAACATGGGATGAGGTTATTAGAAATGACATTAAAAAGTTAAATATAGTAGGTTAAATGACATGTAATAGAAAAATTTGGAGAGAGAGAATTCATGTGACCGACCCTATTCATATGGGATTAAGGCAAGGATGATGATGATCCAGTTTGTAAAAGAAAAATAAATTTTTAAGATTATAACTTATAAAACGTGTATATCTAAGTCAGTCGATAAATAATTTGATTTTTGGCATATATAATTGCACATTTATTGCTTCTCAATTGTTTGTTTAGTCTCAAAGTTTGGTGCTGGTGATAGTTAATGGAACTTGGATTTATATTGGAATTCAGATTCCTATGGACAATTTTGTTGTGGAAGAGCCCAAGTTGGATTTATATCGGAATTCAGATTTATATTGGAATTCAATTCAGTTTTTTCCCTGTAAGTTTGTTAGGCATAAGATAGGTGGTGCTGGTGGTTTCATGTTGTTTATTCAAATCTACATTCAACACATTTACCTAAAAAGTCTGATTGGGATTTTGTTTTAAAAACTGAAATTTCTAACTTCCTATACTTCCATACATTTTGTGGTCCTATGGTTTTTCTTGATTTGTTTGTTGTTTAATTTAAAAACTGAAATTTCTAACTTCCTATACTTCCATACATTTTGTGGTCCAATGGTTTTTCCTGATTTGATTTGTTTGTTGTTTTTTTTAAACAAGTTTGTTTACACAGGTCATGTTGGGTATGATCCCAAAACTGTCACAGCACCTAACAACAAAATTTCATGAAACTCGAAATATTTGTGATCCATATGTTTATTTATTGGTTGTTTATGCATAGTTTTTAGTCATCAAGCAATTCCATGACAAGTTCTTCTTATAAATTGCAACAGCTAACTTTGTCCACTTTCACTCACTCTGTTGAAGTCATTTATGTTTTTTAGTTTAAATTTTCAATCATATTCTAATTTTCTTGACATCTTAATTTGGCGGTCAGAATGCAGCACAACTGAATCATCCGATGATACTGAGAAACAAGAGTTTGAGGAAGTGTCAGATGAAGAGGAAACCTCCTTTTTTGACACTATAGAATACTTTCTGGAACCAACTGACTGTTGCGGCTCTGTAACTGAAGTTACTGTTCATGTGGATAAGCATGTGGGGATTGAAAGTCAAAATGATAAAATGAAGATGAATGCTGAGAAGGAATTTGACTATAGATGTTCACAAATTGAAAGGCGAAAGAAGCTTCCAGATCCAGTTGAGAAAGAGAAAGGGGTCAGTCTTTGGTCTATGATTAAAGACAATGTTGGAAAGGATTTGACTCGAGTTTGTCTCCCCGTGTATTTTAATGAACCAATATCATCCCTCCAAAAATGTTTTGAGGACTTGGAGTACTCTTATCTTTTGGATCGAGCATATGAGCATGGAAAAGCGGTATGATTTATTTATATTACCTCTTATGATCTATTGCTTTGGTTGGGAGATGAAATGTGCTATTGATTGCCCATTATAAACAAATCTTCTTGTTGACAAATGTCTCCTTTCATTGCACTATCTGTAGTTTTTCCTCTTTATTTTGTGGTAAGTGAGACACACTCACAACCATTTTTCAAACACTCAACCTTCTATTTGGAAGGAGGAGGATATACCACCTGGGCTAAACCCTTGGTTCCATTGCACTATTTGTTGCTATTTATGTGTTCCAATTGGGTTGTTTTTCTGTTCTATTTACTTAATTGAATGAATGTTACAGGATTTTGCTATATACATAATGGGGTGTGTGGACATTCTATAGAAATTTAGTCTATTCTGTTAGCCTTCTTCAACTGAGTCTTTCCAGAAGTACCATCTGTTGCTATTTTGTATGGCATTCTGGACATATATATGATCTTGTGCTACTACTTTTCGGTACATTAAAATTACTTAATACTTCTTACATAACGGGATGAGTGCTAGGATGCATAATTAAGGAGACAGAAGGAACAATGCACAATGTTGCGGATTTAATAATGAAGGCTTGTCAAAAAATCTCCCTGTCAACACCCTAGAACGAGATATATTTGAAGTGTTCTGAGTTCTCTTCAACAACTGATGTCCTTTCTAGTTTGGAAAAATATAACTATTCTGCAACTTTCTTCGAATTTATCGTGAATGTTGTTGTAGTGGGGAGGTTGTGTGCTGTATGCTATCATTTCTTTACAGATTATCTAGAAGGAATCATTCATTATTAAAGGTGAAAAACTTTGGTGGTATAGATGAATGAGTGTGATATAGATAATCTAGTGGACCTTCATTCATTACTCAACTTTCTTTTTTCTTTTTCTTTTTTGCATTGGCAAGAAACTCACACCACCCATTTGCCCCTACGGGGACTTGAACCCTCACCATCCACTCTGGGAGGTAGAGGAGATACCACTAGGCTACAATGCCCTTGGTAGTTATTACTGAGCTTGTCTTGTGGATTGTTCTTAAAATTAGCATGGACCTGCATTTAATCCAGAACTAGTACTTAAAGACCCTGTTTCTTGAGTCCTCGGTGATTTGGCTTCATATTGTTTTGAAAATTGATTAAACTATAAACCATTATATCTTGGTATTGCAAGCTCCAATATCATCATCAGACTTGCTTTACACGAGAAGCAAGACTTTTAGACTTTTTTTCTAGACTTTTTTTCTTGTCCTTTTCTTTTCTGTGTAGAGGTTTATTCGTATGTGAACTGCTCTTTTGTAATTCCTCTTGGCATGATTTAGTACAGTAAAAAAAATATTCCTGTGAAACTAACTTTGTTGCTTGTAAGTATTTAAATCTGAAGTTTTGTTCTTGTGGGTCTTGTATTATGCTTCTAGGGCAACAGTCTCCTAAGAGTTTTGAATGTTGCTGCTTTTGCGGTTTCTGGATATGCTTCATCTGAAGGGCGTCACTGTAAACCCTTCAATCCTTTGTTGGGTGAAACTTATGAAGCCGACTATCCTGAGAAAGGAATTCGCTTCTTCTCCGAGAAGGTATATATTAAAAGTGGCACAGCTGCTGTTAAACTAAAATTGGAAGTTTGTCTAATAACTTGTATGAGATTGGATATGCTTTCACATTTAATATGGTGCAATGTTTTGCTTCAAAAGAGATTCTGCATCCTTGGGGACAGACTGTGATACAGAATTTCTAAAGAAAAATAACAATAAGGATACATGCATATATATATATATATCAGTTTTCAAGTTTTCAAGAAAATTGATTCTAGAATTTATACCTCCAAGGAGATCTTTATATAAAATTTAGAAAAAATAAAAAGAAGTCATCGCCTGTTTTTATGTCGAATTTCAGACCTAAAGGACAATCTATGAAAATAAATAACATGACTTTGGTCATATTTTACAACAGTAGACGAGGGAAGGCATATGTGAATTTTCTCATCCAAATTCGTTATCTTCATATTCATCTTCATTGTTATTGTTGTTTGACATGAGGGTTAAGGATGAAAAGTTTGGTGGGGATACTTTAATAATAAAAAAATGCTGCCAAAAACCGTTTGAGCATGCTAATAATTGATAAGTTCCCTACCAAACTATTCTGTACTTCTAAATATAATGGCATCGCTGCTAACTTGTTGTTTTCATTCCTTAGTTTATTACATCAAACTGATCATGACCTTGCCTGCTCATGTTAACCACCAACTCCTCTAAAAGTTTAAGCTTTTAGAGAAATATAAATTTATTATTTACGTCTTTTATGATTATTGATATTCGACTTAATTCAATGAAGTTCTGTTCAAACTATTTAAGGTTGGCTACATAATTCGCATTCGGCCTTTCTTTTCTATATACGCCATACAGTAAACATGCAATCATATATTTCCTTAGTATCTCAACCTATGTAAATTTTGGTTGTCCCTCCCTAGCATTTCCAAGTCACTCGTCATCACTAAGTGAAATTATTGATTTGTTGATTTTTCTCATTTTGTCATTGATCCAACTTCTACTATTTCACAGAATGTATTAATTTCTAATTTTATTAGTGTTACTTTTACCCTCACAATTATATTTATTTCTATTTTATACTCTCATCTTACCACGCAGTCATTTTAACATTCAGATTTTGGTTACACTCATTTTATAAACATGTTTTCTTATTATCCACCTGATATTCTGTCCTCCTTAAAAAAATCCCTTTAATTTAGAGGTATATGTTGGTCGTACAATATTCTAGAAATACTCCTCCATTTTACCCGTCTTGCTTTAATTTTAGAACTGTCATCATCTCCAGTATAAGAGTTAAAAGGAAGTCCTTAAAACCCATTATTTTGTCCCTATTTGTGAACCATCTCAGACGATCAAAATAGCACAAACGGTGGAAGCAATTATTATACATTTTTAAGTTACCTTTCCAAGGATTGGAATACCCAAAACTGATGTGTACAAATTTTTATCAGCATTGTTTGGCCAGATTTTGATGTTGTCAATGTTGAACTTGTACCAATGTCTATCTTGTAAGTATGGTTGTACATCCTGATCTTTTTTATTGTTTTTGTGAAACAGGTCAGTCATCACCCAACCCTCATTGCCTGCCATTGTGAAGGTAAAGGGTGGAAATTTTGGGGTGACAGTAATCTTAGAACAAAATTTTGGGGAAGGTCAATTCAGCTTGACCCTGTTGGAATCCTAACTGTAGAGTTTGATGATGGCGAGATTTTCCAATGGAGCAAGGTGTGAACTGCCACATGGTTGTGCTTTTGCTGTACATAGACTGCTTTTATTTATTGGTTCTATTTTTGTTCTCACAATACAATAATCTTAAAACTTTTTCGTGCTTAGGTGACAACAACCATTTATAATCTCATACTTGGTAAAGTATATTGTGATCACCATGGGACAATGCACATACGTGGTAATCGCCAATATTCATGCAAACTCAAATTCAAGGAACAATCTTTTCTTGACCGAAATCCTCACCAGGTAAATAAAGAGATCTTATGTCTTATAATTATGTTTCGTCTGTTTTCAGTTTCTCCTGTCATATAAATGTTAAAACGTTCTGATCTTAACAACTCTTGTTCATTGGGTTAATAAATTCCATAGACATCTGTATGCATCCAGTTGCTGCCATTGTTAATCTAAAATTTAATAATTGGATCCATATAAAAGTTCCCACTCACTACACAGGTTCATGGATTTGTTGAAGATGTCACTGGGAAGAAAGTAGCCACGTTATTTGGGAAGTGGGATGACAGCATGTATTATGTGAATGGAGCTGAGACTAACAAGCCAAAGGATTTATCAGATGTACCTTTGTTGTGGAAAAGTATTAAGCCACCACTTAATCTCACTCGGTACAACATGTCGTCATTTGCGATTACACTAAATGAGTTGACATCAGGGTTGCAGGTAGAAATAATGTATTGAATCAATTTTTTCATATGCACTTCCATTTTTCTCTTGTGCATTTCTAATACTCTTTTATAGCTCTTTCTGATCCCGGGTGTTTGATCACGGATTAAGGAGAAACTTCCACCAACTGATTCAAGACTAAGACCAGACCAAAGGCATCTAGAGAATGGGGAATATGAGAAGGCAAATGCAGAGAAGCTAAGGTTGGAGATGCGGCAAAGAATGGTATGTATGCGACCACCTTTTTTATTTTTGATATTCATGCCTTATTTGTTGGTTTTTTATTTTTTATTTTTATCCAATTTGGAGATTCTACTACTGACAATTATTTGTAATTGGGGAGATGGGTCCTAAGAGATGCATCATTTGCTCTCTCTCAACCTTCTCTGCTTTGTCCTTGTTAGAGCATGTGACACTTACCCGTCTCCTAACCCAAAAGCCCAAAATCAAAGCCAAGTCCCAGTCCTTCAAGGCTACCTGCCCTACAGATGGCCTAAAACCAGGTGTCTGCCAATTTGAAGTCCGTCTTCTATGTGCCTTTCTTTTTTTGGCAATTGATTAAAACTATCATTGTGCAGTAAATAGTAGTTGAGTAACCGGATTGCACATTTCTCAAAAAATTATTAGAAATTCTGTAGGTTAATTTGATATAAAATTCAGCATTATAACAAGGGCAAGGGTACAAATGTCATGCACATAGAATCATTGTGATGACTGTTGATAATCTTTGAGATAACGTCTCCAATTCTATTTTTGTTTTTTGTTTTGTGGGACTGTTTGCGGAGTGTTTCCTGAATATGATTGAAAGTCTTCATTTTATTGCCATAATAAGTGCTAGAGATGACATGAATCAGTTTAGCTCTTTGAATCATAGGTAGTGGGTTCAAGTGTATTATTTTACGTTTAAGGAAGAATGTCATATAGTGTGGTTTGGATCTGTATGTAGACTAATATAACTGGAAGGTTGGGTTTCCAAAGCAGAATATTAAGATTAAATCTCTAGTGACAAAGTATAGTAGGAATCTATTCCCAATCTACATGTAATTTTGTTGCAGTGTTGTCTATCTTAAAATCAAGAGCGTCATTTGAAACTCCTCCTTCCTTTTCTTCTTTATGTCATTTCTTTTGCATAGTTTTATATAATATTTATCAAATTGGGCTACAAATTCCTTGAAAATGGCTGGAGATCTTATATGTTATTAATTTGTGTACATTTGCTGATGCCGCGTTGATCACACTCTCACATCTCATGCAGTCGAGGAAATTACAAGAAAACGGGTGGAAACCAAGATGGTTCCAGAGAGAGGGCGAAGATGGACCTTTTAGCTATGTAGGTGGTTACTGGGAAGCACGGGAGCAGGGAACATGGAACGGATGCCCAAATATTTTTGATGAATATAATGAAGACACTATTAACTCCTTTGAAAGGTCCTGATTTGAGCAAAGGTGTGTATTTTTTAGCAAGCTCTCTTACTTATATAATGATTTTGGGCTGCCTCTGTTAAAATCGTGTTTTATGTGATAAAAGCCTCGAGACAATTTAAGATGGATACTTATCATACATTCCATTTTGTTGGTTGAAAACTTTCACTGTGTTTACTATGTTGCATACAATTCCTTTTTCCTCCCTTTTTAAAAATTTATTTTTTCCATAAGATAAATTCACTAAAAGCAGGAAATATACAACTACACAAAAGATGGGTAACAAAAAATCAAATTCCCAAAAATTGAGCGAAAACAGAGAACTCGTTTCGGCTAAAGAAATAGAGCGACAACTTGCTGATGACAGTTTATATATATCTGACGTTTAATGATGAATTATACTGGTTCTGAAGTGGTTAGGCGATTAAACCTGATTGCTCATTACATTGTAGGTCATGCAGGATGAATGCCAAAATTTTCAGGAGGGTGGCGGAGCAACTAGTGCACATAGGTAGCCTAAATTTTCCTGATTCTATATCAGTTTGCTATATATGATTGTTCCAAGGATGACAGAAGTTGAACCACAAGGGACGTACGGGAACGAAGAAAAAATCTCAGTCGACTGTGGTAGATATGAGTCAAATTTACTCATAGTTGTAACATGTTGGTTTGTCATTTCTGCCTCAAGGTGTAATGGTGTATTTCTCTCACTATATATATATATGTGTGTGTGTGTGTGTGTGTGTGTGTGTTGTAGTTGCTAGCCGCTGGCTGATTGTTTATTTAGATAATTCTATGCTTCTTCTTGGGTTAGAAATAAAATTCAACTCCTTAATTATTGAATTTTCATATACATTTCTTGACTTCAAATTATAATATTCTGGGCGGACAAGGATTCTCTCTAGTGCAGAAGAAGTTCAGAATAGAATCCCGTGGTTGAGATTGAATTGGTAAATGGAACTCATTAATAATAATGTAATCTCAATTACTGAATTCAGAAACTGGAGTGGAAACTTGTCTTATTCTAGACATACTCAAATGTGTTATTATTTATAGCTTAGAGTGGAATGAGAGTGAGTTGCTTGAATTAATAATCGACGGGACAAATAATGTTGTAAAAAGTGGACGATGTGAGTGAGCGAGCAGTCATGCGAAGCACAGTTTGCCAATAATTTTCCTGTCAATTCGAGAGATTCTATACCTCGAATTCAGGGTTGTTAGTTTTTTCTTTTTTAAATATATTTCTATTTTACTTTTTAGGTCTGCAAGACTGACCAATTGCCATGTGAGGTGAGGTACTCCCGTGACAATCATCCAAGACGTTGTTGTACTGGGACAGAAAATAAAATTGTTGTATTGGAATTTGGGACAGAAAAATACTAATATTTTGACCAATTTGAAGGGTTATACATATTGGCATTCAAAAAAATAAATAAAATAAAAAGGTGCTTTAACTTTATATCGATCTTATTCTACATGAAACATTTGTTGAAGTTGGCTAGTTTTGATAGGGGGCACGTAAATAGAAAAGAGAACGAAAAAGGAACATATTTGGTAATGCATGTCTCAACGGGCTGATCTTAAGCAGCCAATGTCTCAAAACTTTGGGAAATTGGTACCATTAACTATTTGTCCCCCGTTTTTTCAAAAAGAAGTATTCACAAATGCATCAAACCACGACGAGGGACGGTGACATTTGGGTAGGATAGATAATCCTTTAATATATGTTTTTTCTCTTTTTCTCCATAATTTGGCGCATCGCATGGATGTGTTGGAGGCAGGTTGCCCCACCTTCGTCCCACGCCCAATGCATTTTGCTGAAAAGTTTGATTTACAACAACAATAATAGGCAAATGTTTTGGATCTTCTCATTTTCTTGGGATACGGTGCCCAAAAAAAGTTACTGGTGGATAAGTATGATGCCCTTCAAATTTTGCCACACCTAATATTAACAAAAAACAGTGGCATAGACAACAAGGCAATTAACTTTGGAGCTCGACTAGGCACTAATTCATTTTCAAGACATCGTCACCACAAAACAAACCAACCTGGAGCATTATTCATCCATGTCCATGTGTGTGTGTCTATTTTGGATGTATATATACATATTCATCCAATTATCACTCTTTCTGATTTTTAAAGACTGAATAAATTGTTGTTCATATAGTACCAAAGAAATTAGAGAGATTAAATGCCCAAAAAATCGATAATTATGATAATCAAAGAACTATGATAGGAATATGTTAATAACCTATATATTTTAAAATTAAATAATATAAATAAATAAATAGAATATTTTATTCACCACCAAATTTTGACATAAACAATCATGCTTTATTAGTGTGAATACAAGAAAAGTTGGTTACTTGCCATAATGTCTGACATGGAATATTTTTGGCCGGAAGTCTAATTTCGTAAAAATGTCCAGTAGAGAGATGGTAGGTTCAAGTGTGCCCGTGACACTTCCATCCAACAAACAAGTCGCAATCGGGCACAACATGACAATATGGAAGAGGATTTTCAACATAAGCTACATGAACAAACACGTACAATTTACAAATTATATTGGTTAGTCTTGCAAAGACGATTATATTATGTCTTAAAATTGAGTATATTATGTCGTAAAAGTGAGTAGATACGTTCGCTATACACATTCTCAAATCTCATGATTTTCAAAACACGTATATATAAGAAGGCATCTTCATATAAGTGAAATGACACAATAAGAGCCGGACTAATTATTGATTTGAGTCGTTGAACGAGTTAATACTATGATGGACATAAACATTTTCATATTTACAAAAGAATGGGATGACAAAGAGAGATCAGTGTGATATATAGTTCCACCTTTTTTACCTAAAAATCTGTAACATATTGATCAGAAATGAAATCACATAACACGGTGAGTGTGTGCGTGTGTATGACTTAATAAATGATATCCACAGAAATATGCTACAGCAGGTAACATAGCTACTGGCTTTCCCAATCTCACAAACATCCAAAATTTCAGCCAAATTAGGGTTGTGTTGCCAGCTAAATATCCCAAGGGCACACATGGGTTTAGAGATTTCTTTATTGTTTTTATCTTTAAACCAATTCATGTGACCAGATCCTCCTTGCACCTATAAAAAAACCCACCTCACTACAAATCTTTCCATCACCACAAAAACCCTTCTCTCACTAGTAAATAATTACAAGGGATATTTGTTGAGAGATGGGTTCTAAGAGCAATGCATCACTTGCTCTCTTTCTCTCACTCAACCTTCTCTTCTTTGCCCTTGTTAGTGCATGTGGCACTTGCCCTTCTCCTAAGCCAAGACCAAACCCTAACCCTAACCCAACTCCAACTCCTTCCACAGCCACCTGCCCTAGAGATGCCCTAAAGCTAGGTGTCTGTGCCAATTTGCTTGGCGGACTGATCGGTGTTGTGGTGGGTGACCCTCCAAAAACACCATGCTGCACCCTCATTCAAGGCCTTGCCGACCTCGAGGCCGCTGTTTGCCTTTGCATTGCCATTAAAGCAAATGTTTTGGGCATCAACCTGAATATCCCCATCTCACTCAGCTTGCTTCTCAATGTCTGTTCAATGAAGGTCCCTTCTGGCTTCCAATGCGCCTAAACAACTTTCTTTTTCTCACTCTCTGCAGGCTAGCTTCTGCTCCTACAAGCTTTAGATTTAATTTCTACCATATATTAAATAGTGTGGTATAAGTACTGCATGGTAACAACTTGTTTCCTTTGATTTATATATTGTTGTGTGATTTGGTGTATGGAGTGATCTTAAATAAATTTCATTTCTTCGTGTAAAATCATGTTATATCAGTTCTTATCATATCATATTTACTAATATGTAATTTTGTTTGAAATGAAACGATTATTAATTATAAATTTAAATGCCACCTATATTTTATTGTCGAAAAAAATAAAGGATACAATAAATCTCGGAACATGCACCAAAATTCCCGAAGATGAGAGAGAAGGGAAGCTAGACATAATCACTCAGCTAAACCTAAAATTTTCTTGTTAAGCGCAGGGAAAGTGAGATTTTGATGACTATATAGGATAATTAAGAAATAGTTTTGTTAGGTTTGGAAGTGTTTTAGTTGCTTTTTAGTGCAAAATTTAAATCATAGCATCTCTACAATTGCAACTTAGAGTGTAATAATGGGACATGCAAAATATTCATTCAGTGACAATAATGCTGATGTGATGTGTTTTGGTTGGGCCTGTTTGTGCTAGTCCACTCAGCTAGCCCTTTTGGGACCCATTGGCTTGTACATTGTTAACTTTTTAGTATAATCTACTTTACCTTCAAATAATAATAATAATAGTAACGCTGATGTGCCCTTGCAATTAATCTTTGATTTGATCATGATTCAAGTCCATGCATGCTTGAAATTAGCTTTGTGAAATGGTCCACCAACTAAATGGTTATTTAATACTTAAAAGTTTACAAATCTTTACATAGTTCAAAGTGGTTAGAGTTGATTTTTTGTTACCAAAAAATAATAATATTTATCTTCTATACTAATAATTTTGTAATCATCATGCATCCCTCAATTATAGATTTATTTATGCTCAATAGACATTAACTCAGATGGTATGATCTCTCTTCTCTAAAAAGAAGTTGAACTTTAGAAGAATAAAAATAAAATTAAAAATTATGGAATACATATGTCACGACTCACGAGTGTACATTCTTAAATCCTAAGGGTGACCAACTAATATCTAATACCGTGTTGCATGTGAAGTTTGTTTGCTTCTCTTGAATTAGCTTTAATTGAAATGATGATCTACTTTAACTACCATTTCAGATGGTCCCCATTACTCTAACCACATTATACTATACTCTCGTGAATAATCTTTGACAAATTCGACCTCTTAATCATTATAACACGGATTTGGTTTTATTTTTTTCCATTATTTCGAAGTCACTATCTGCAATTTAATATCAAAAGTTTGGTGTATCTTTGAATATTTTCTCCCCACATCCTGAGTAGTGAGTAGGTGGCACAAACCATATTGCCATTAAGGCCTAGTAGTTTTATAGAGTGAGGGTCTACAATTATTTATTGTTTGGGAACAAGAAAGTTCATGCTTTATCAAGAACAATTCCCAGTTATCTCAAATGAAGAACCCATCCCTTTATTAATAATATAGATGGAACCTCTCTCTCTCTCTCTCTCTCTCTCTCTCTCTACATTTTGTGGGTATTCATTCTCTCTGTACATTAGAAAGTTTCATACAGTTAATTAATAGCACATTAAGTTCAAGACATCGCATCAGTATATACATACATACCCCTAGAAGCCACATTACCCTAATGCAAATGCCATAAATGACCTAAACCACAACAGAAAATAAAGATCCTAAGAACAAAGAAAGGCATATTGACAAAAAAAAAGACACTTACAGAGGATGAGATGAGATATAAATCCATGTATAAAATGGCGTTTTATTATTTGTGCTCCGTTGTATCTGACGTCTACACCAAAAAATGAAGGTAGCAAGTGAATCAGTTACCAGTTCTTTGATGCAATATAACACAGGTTGTACAAAGTATGGTTAGGGATGACTAGAATGTAAAAACATCATAACCACCAAAGCCAAGTGGATAAAAATGAATATAAAGCATAAGAAGCACCTTTAGACAAATCTGATTGCATTTATTTTTCGAAGCTGTTAGTATTAGCAACAGTGAAGATGAAACAATTATTTCTTACTGCTTCAAACGTTCAAAAAACAAACAAATAGACGAGAGAATGTGAAACAGCGTTATCTTGCAACAACCACCAAGTAGATATCTATGCTTCTCCTCCAAGCTCCACTCGCAGGTTATATAGATAGAGACCTTAGGAGTCTGGTTAAAATGAAAAAGGAAAATCATCAGTCTGCATCAGAATTTGGAATAGAGTAAGGTTATCAGGATAGTCGTCTCATGACGAGCCATGGCTCTCTCCTTATTCTTACTCTTTGGACTAATACAACAACAATAATAAATAAATAAATAAATAAACAAATCTTTTTCCCAACTAGTTGGGTTAGCTACGTGAAATTGGGATAATGATCAAGAAAAAAGGAATTTAAGTATCCGACCGGCGACCATACAGATCAATGCATAAATGACTATAGAAAACTGAAATGCAACCAGCAATATATACAAAATCTGAATTAGAGGATCCAGTGCCCTCTCCTCCAACACCAACTCCCGTCACCTCCAAAAGAAGGTCAAAACTCTTAGTTCTTCTCATGCAATTTTTTTCCCCCAGTCATTTTTGCAACTATAAAAAATTGCAAAATAAATATTTGAAAATAAAGTTGAAATGTTTGTAGAAAATTGAATTGATTTATCTGCTTTAGGAGGAAGGGTACCTTCAAAAGAATAATATAATCAAATGAACTGTGCTGAATTATGAATGGTGCAATGTCTTCTTGAGCTTCAACAACAGCAGAAGATATAAAAGCAATATCATGTCAACTGAAAATTAAGATGCAAACCATTTTCAACGCATAGAGACCGCCTCTAAAACTCTCAAACACAAATGGCATTCAATAGTGCAAGTACAATCAGTTCACTTGGGATTCACATTTCCAACGGAGTACAAGTTTTGGTGTTAAATTGGCCGATGGATCGAGTGGCACAGAATGTCAGATCCCGTGCAATTTATATTAATTATCAGGTAACATTAGAGATTTGTTTCTTATGGAAGTTTTCAGGTAATTAATCAAAGAAAAACTCATCTTCATTGAATGCTACATATTCTTTGCTACATCATCATTACAATGATATTAATCCTTCAGTAATATCACGAAAGATTGATATATCAAAAAGAGTAAAATACCAATTATGGAAACTCAATATTGCAGTTGATGTTTCATTCTACCCTAGTACATATAAGAAAAAAATTGGACAATTTCTTAACTTTATTTAAGAACGTTACATCCTCTGGAAGATTCCTCATTCCTAAAACAACACTGAGCTTAGTAATAATTTTTTTACTATTATTTCAACACTAATATTTTTTCATTTTGCCAATATAAGTATTGAATCTAAACTAGTCTCTCTTGTCAATGCCATGCCACAACTTCACCACTGTGCTATAATGGCTTTGACAATGCCAAGTTTCCATATGACAACTGCCTCTCTCTATGTAAATACAAAATACATATCAATATGTACACATATACATAAATAATAAGGCAATTATACCGTGCTAGTCCTACCTCCTATAATTCTAGGAGGGGTATTATGTAGACAAATATAACGTTTGGCATTATTTTGCAAAATGCTACTGCTTTAGGACTGAAACAAATGTCTTCATGCTTGCCAGCCCAAACTTTCTGCATTGCACCATGTTAATATACATTACTCCGCAATATCTATATATATATAGAGAGAGAGGAAATTATTCTAACCTCCCTGAGTTATAGTAAATAATTATATGGGTCTCTCTTGTTGATCCAAAAATTACATTAACCTCCTGTCAAACATTTCAACTGCATGGAGCTAAGCGAAAGTGTGATTTTATTTTTTTACCCTACTGATTATTTATATTATTTTAGTTGACACGTAGAGTAAAAGGAAAAAGACAAGAAAAAAATTGAAATTTTATAATTTAATTTTGCTGATGTGAACAGATTCCATCTTTTGACTTTGTCAACCATTAACATAAAAAGAGGAATCTCTTACCAAGTACTAACCTTGGGAGATCAGTATAATTTCTAAATTAGCAGGAGAGCACCGTATAATTTATGCTAAGAGATGAGCGTAATTTACCCATAAATATATTATATTATATTTGCATAAATACATATAATTACACTTATCAAAAAAATGAATAAGTACATATAATTACAATTGCCATATATGCGAGAAGGTGTGAAAGGTACGATAATCAAATCATGTGAAACTCTTTCCCTACATTTTTTTTACCACTCAACCAAACAACAAGAGTAAAGAGACTCCTCATTTTTCGTAAGGGTACCTCTTTATTCTCCAGCCTTCCTCCTATCCAAGTTTCCGATCCTTTGTACAAAACAGAGTGTCAAAGAAAATAGAATTTGAAGCTGATGCTAATGCCAGAATGGGTTTAAATCTCAAAAGTTTGTAAAAAAAGTCACATTCTAATGCATATTCATGATTTTTCACATTGTAAGGTGGATAATAAAATGCATTTTAACAGTTACTAAGGTGGTCAGAATTCGAACTTGTCATCTCTTTGACTGCTAAGGTGGTTAGAAATAGAAATACATTTTAACCCATCAAATTTAATTCCAACCTACTGCTACCGTAGCTAGAAATAGATCTTAGAGCTGAAGCTAATACCAGAAAATTTCCAGCCAATCATTTGTAAATGGGGCAGAACTTAAACTTTGAAAGAGGAGCTACACTCTTGGTTTCTGGTTCAATTTTTTTCACAGCGTAAGATGGATAATCAAATTACATTTTACCCTGTTGCTAAGGTGGTTAAGTTTAGAACTCATCATCTATTTGAATGCAGGCATATAATGAAAGCCATTACTACTTCATCTAATGACTCACCATGTGTGTTCAAACATGAGGGCATTGTAGACATCTGAAACAAGTTCCATCATCCATGTGGAATATAATCTAGAATTTCTGAATATCTTATCTTCTGTGGGTTCAAAGTTTAGGTTTTAGATTTTAGAATTTCTGCAAAAGCAGAATCTGCAATGCTAGTGGTGCTTAGATGTGTGAATGGTATGATTAATAACAAGGAAATGAAGGTTACAGGAAACCTATCAATCCAGAGCAGCCCTTTAAGGCAAAACCTGGTTTTTTTTCCCTTTTTCTTTTTTTGTTTTTTCCCCCACTACAGCTAAATAAAGAAATGGTTTCACCTTACCCAAGATGGGACAAATAAATGGCTTGTTAGAGCATTTTATCATGGGCTAGCTAAGCCACCAAACAATCCTATGGAAACCAAATATTTGGTCAATAGACATAGACCTGAACCAATTCGAGATTGGAGTAAATCCCAATTATCTTTTAGGTCATTTGGTCATTACAAAGTAAAAGTGTGAAATTGGAGCATTCCTTGAAATGGTAAGAAGGATTCTTAAATGTGTGAAAACAGAAGAAAAACACTCCTGAATTGGCTGCTGAGATGAAAATTCTAATATGTTGAACAAGCAAAGAACTGCTCAAGAATCCATAAATAGAGACTGTGTAGTCTATTCCAACATCAATAGTGGTAGCTTTATTACAGAATACTATTCTAGTATCTAATAATGGTGGTTTCATATGTAGTAAGAGGCAACTCATTGTATACCTATTTTGTCACTAGTGACGTTAGTATATAGTGGCAACTATAGCTACAGACAGTAATTTAGTTGAAGCGGGATAATCAATATGAATGATATCAAGGTTAAACATGTTCCATTCAGTTAATTTTCAGTGTATATGACAGCCAAAGTAGTTGCCAATCGAGTTATCCAGCAATGAACCAAAAATATTTTAAATTCACCATAAATTCATCCTAGCAAAAATAAAAAAGAAAAAAAAAAAAAAACTGGTCCTTTAGTTGCAACTATTTTTAAAAATATTTTAAATTCAATATGATTTATATCGCTGTCATTCTTATTACTAGTATAACACAACAGGACTATATTGTAAGACATCCTAATTAAATCAATGTCACTAAAAAGATTCAGAAATCAAATTATGGGTGAATTTTAACTTACAAATGGTATTTTGGAGGCTTTGTCATTCCACACAGCCAACATTCCAAGAGACGCAAAAAAGCCCAAACCTCGACACAGGGGCCAAAGCTTTATACTGAAAAAGAATATATATATATATATACACATATATATATTAAAGTTTAGATCATGATTGAGTTCTGAAGAGCTATTCTGATGATATATATATATATAGATACATATAATTAAAAACGCACCTTTCCGATTGTATCGGGGATACGATCTATACAGGGTTCAGGAAACGGAGTCCCATTGTCCTAAACCAGCTCGTCGTTTACAGGAAGCTGAAACAGAGGAAAAAAAGAGTATCTTTTTGGGTTTAGTTCTTTTGTTGCAAATGGAGTCGAAAATTTAAAATACACAACAAAATAGATTCTCAAATTTGATATATGTGCATGTGTTTTTTATTATATATGTGTGATTTTGGGGTTTTAGAAAGGAGAAAGGCTCACGGGTTTGTTGGGGACAGTGTTTGCCGACGGGAACGCCCCTGCCGGAGCGGTGACCAGCGGGAAACGACGTCGTTTCCGCCCATAGGCCTAGACGCCGCGTGGCTCAATCTCCCTGCCATTTTTTCCCGATGAGATGAGATTTCTCTCTTAAAACCAGAGTGATCAATCCGTTTGATCTGTGCGTACCGTGTAATGGAAGCTGTTGTGACGGTGTTTATTTCAGCCAAGGAAATGTACATCCCACGACGCCGTTTCATTTCCTAGGCAAATGGATTATTGGGATTTTCAGAGAGGAAAAAATAAAAAATGAGATTTTTATTGAAATTTTAAAATTTTAATAGAAAGAATCGCCCAAACAAATATAAATCGGGCATAATTGAATTCAACTTTGTAGATGACTGCTCTAAGTCATATGTCACCAGCCATTTTAATATTATAAATGTAAGGTCACATAGGCCACATTTGCATAATCACACAGGCCACATTTGCATAATGTAAAGAACCTGCTCTATTTGTTTGGCCTCACGAGAGGGCCTCCGTTCCAGTCGGATGAGCTTCTTTTTACGCACCTACACTGTTTGGAGGAAGGGGTCACTGCCCTTCACTGTCCTACTATCATGGAAGTACCCCGCTTCAGTTAGATGGGTATTGTTATGCACCATCTTTGTGGCCTCCTTATATCTGTATCATCTATGTTGTTCATCCCGAACTCCCCCTGCATAGGAGCTCGAGAGCTTCAAACTTAATTGTTCACCCTGAGCTCTCCCTGCATAGGAGCTCGAGGCTTAAAGGAAGTGTGGAAACTCGGGACCAAAGAAGGCAAGTCCTAAGCAATTTCCCTATCTCCTCCTACTTCGAGGGAATCTGAGTATCAGTGGTTAGGCGGCTGTGTCATATCCCCTAATTTCGGAACACGGGTTGATCAAGTCCGCGCACAAAATCAAGGAATATCAAAACAATTTTAGTATTTAACAAGCACAGAATACAAAGATGAATAATAAAGAATAAATAAACCGCTGAAGAAAACTAATAAATAAATATTACTTAATGATTCTCCAACAATTATAACTCGGAAATCCCATAACTCAAGGACCCCTTAAAACATTATCCAATAATCCAATACTATTTAAAAATACACAAGATGAATAGATGAATGACAGTCTCCCAGCTGCGGATCCTCAACCTCGAGACTGGAACCTCTAATAACCTGAAAAATAAATCTTGGGTTAAACCCTATGAGCAAGTTCACTCTACCAGGCCTCTGAAAACTAATAAGCAGATCATCTTTAATCAAACCAAACCTAATAAAGTTTTAACTTTAATAAAGCACGATATACATGTCTATATATAATTATATATACTATACTAATCACATCCGTTAATAGGTTTATTAAATTTTCATACCTATTAAATAATTATTAAAATAATATTCATACCTAAACCAATCTACCATTTCATTTTTTAAAAAAACTCCTCTGACCTTAATCCCATCCTAGTCAGTTGTTTAATCATTTATATAATAAATTATAATAAAAGGCATATTATAATTAATCCCAAAACCCGATGATGATTTTAACTAAATCACATATCCAAAATCTCAGCATTGACAAATCATCCATGTCTCCACTAATATTATTTTATTAATATAAAATAATACACTAACCAGTAAGTACTAGATTATTCTAATTTAAGAATATATAATCCTAATCCAGTCTATACATACAATAACCATAGATGATATTTTAATCATCTAACACATAACAATTTAATTACGCTTTGGCAAATTAACCATGCCATTATAAATATTTTCATTGATATATTGGCAACTCAACCATGCCTCCTTAAATATATTTATTTATACATTGGCAAATTAACCATGCCTCCACAAGTATATTTATTTACATATTTGGCAAATCAACCATGCCATTATAAATATATTTATTTATACATTGGCAACTCAACCATGCCTCATTTAAGTATATATATTTATACTTTTAAATTAACAATTCAACCATGCTTTCTGTGTATGTATTTTATTCATACAAATACTTAGGCAAAATACTTACGCCTATGGCAACTCATCCATACCTACAATTCAACTATGTATCAACTTTAAATTTAAAAATAAATTAATTCACACATAACCATTTAATGCATATTATATGCATAAGATTAATTTAATAACCAGCCTAATATAATATATCAAATAAGAATAATAATTTAATTATCTTAAATGATATATACATATAGCCATATATTATATAATATATGTATATGTATAATACCTTCAATAATAATCCTTGATTATTTAAAATTATATATACATATACATTAATGAATATATATATATATATATACATATAATTCCTTCCATGCTACACATAAATTAATTAAATCATATATACACATATATAATTAAGTATATATATAACTCCTTCCATCATCAAACTATTAATTAATGACATTTAGGTAAATTAAACGTCACTAAATATCGTCACAAATGTTTTCCCATAAATACTCCATATCAATTTAAATAGTTTTCCGACACCGTCTCACTAAAACGTAATTATCTTCTAGTAGGATGGGAAACTGATAATGAAATTAGTACCATTGGAAATAGGACGAAAAATCCTTTAATTTGAGCTCAAGAATGACCCAATTTCGATTTAAGATGACTAAGTTATGACCGTTTTAATTTTATGTCACAAATAGGCAACATAATTGGATGAACTCAAACACTACTGTGAGCGCACCCACACCGGATTAGCTCACTTGAGCTCACACAAATGCACCCACACCAGATTAGCTCACTTGAGCTCACATGTATGCACCCGCACCAGATTATCTCCCTTTCATCAATCAAATCAAACCGCTAGATTCCGCATGTGCATTAACATATCATGTATCGCAATGCACTGAATCAATCCATTAATATTTAACCAATCTAATGGTCTAGATCAGTGTGCGCACCATTATTCCATGTACCGCGCCACACTGAATTGCTTCCCTATTGAGCTGTCATTCCACTAACCGTGTATATATGTATAAACAATATACATATATATATTTCCAATAAATATATAAAAATAAATTATAATAAATTACCAAAAATACCAGAAAATTCCAGAAAATTTAACAAAAATTCCAAAAATTTTAGAAACACTAATTAACCCCTCTTGGGTCCAAATCCAGCCTATCTGTTGATGTAAACAAAATATACAACACATATATACAACAATAGAAATCTAAAATTCAAAAAAAAAATATAATAATTCATATTTTAAATATTCCGTTCTAACCATCATTTAATCAATAAATTTAACCTTAGATTTTGATACTCAAGGTGAAATCCTTATGAGTTCTAAGAGGAAAGTTAGAGAAAAATTCGCCTGAAGGTTTCAAAACGAAACCGAAACTTCAAGCCTTGATTGCCTCTTCCAAATCCAATATCCTCTTTCTCTGAGCCGGCCTCCTCTTTATCGGCCTTCTCCTTTTCTCTCTCTCTCTTATTTTTTTAACGTGTAAACTTTTAACCCTAAAGTCTTATGCGTATATTTATACACATTAGAATCCAAATCCTATTCCTACTAGGACTTTCAAATAAAATAATAATTCTTAAATAATATATATCTATAAACACATATTATATTACAAATATATATATATACCTTCCATAATTAATCCATGGGTTAATTAAATCATATAAACCTATATATATCCATAAATATATATCTCTAGATATATATTTTCATAACAATTATTAATTAATTATATTTATATAAAATTATATATATTTATAATTAATACAAAAATGATCATTTAAATAATTAAATAATCATAGGCTTTTATTAATTAACCCAATAAGGCTTCATACAAGCCCAATACCATATCTTTTAGTCCAACTTCCCTTAATCCCAAATTCAATTAATTTAAATAAATCAAATAATTAAATAGACACTTAAATAATAAAAACTAAAAACTAATTACACTAAGCACATAAACAAAATAATAAATTACAACCAAGTTATACCATACCAATAAAATTAACATACCAACAACTCAATCAATAATTAAGCACACAGACAACAATCATCATATCAATAATTCACGAAATATAAATAAAATAAAACAATTAATCTAAACACTCAATAAAACAAATTAATTAAAAATTAAAATAAACGCAATTAATTCAAATTAAATCAAATACATCATTTAAAAATAAAATAAAAGTAATTAATTCTAATTAATAAATCATTTAAAATATTGGGGTATTACAGGCTAAGTTCCAAGGATTCACCTCACCTCGAGGTCTACACAAGGGGGGAGAGAATGTTTAATACCCAATAGCTGAGCTCGAGTAATAGAGACCACATAATGCATTAGATGTACCATTGATTGAGAGCTTCAAACTTAATTGTTCACCCCGAGCTCCACCTGCGTAGGAGCTCGAGAGCTTCAAACTTAATTGTTCATCTCGAGCTCCCCCTGCGTAGGAGCTCGAGGATTAAAAGAAGTGTGAAAACTTGGGACCAAAGAAGGCAAGTCCTAAGCAATTTCCCTATCTCCTCTTACTTCGCAGGAATCTGCGTATCAGTGGTTAGGCGGTTGAGTTCCAAGGATCCGCCTCACCTCGAGGTCTACACAAGGGAGAGAGAATGTTTAATACCCAATAGCTGAGCTCGAGTAATAGAGACCACATAATGCATTAGATATACCATTGATTGAGTGATAGGACCTGCATTAAACACAAACCATCATCATTGCCTTAAAGAGGGCAGCGGCATGCCTCGAGCCGCCGACTAGATGTCCCACCTGTCAAAGGTCAGGTAAAGTGACCATTGGATAAAGGGGGAGCTAGCCCTCGTAACCAAGGGTCCTTGCTTGGCAGAGTGACCATTTAATAGAGAATGAGCTACCCCCGTAACCAAGGGTCCTTACCTAGATAAAGTGACCATTGGATACGGAAGGAGCTACCCTCGTAACCAGGGGTCCTTACCTAGGAAAAGTGACCATTGGATAGGGAGGAATAGGCTCTCATGACCAATGGTCCTTACCCAATTGAAAGTAGTACAAATAGGACTAAACTCTCATCATTTTGGGGGAGGAATACAGACACACCATCATAATTATAACAACAAACAATGGTCCTTTAGGACTCGAGTTACCATAGGGTGT